AAACGACCCGGAGCGATAGGTCATTAGTTTTTTGCCTGATTAGTAAGTTAAATATATTTTTAATGTTCCAAAATACTTTATCGTATACTATAAGTGATCTTTTTATACTGGGGTTAGCAATACAGACAAACCGCAACAACGTTCTGTTTGTCGTAGTTAGGCCTATGTTCCATCACTCCTATAGCCCGGGATCCTAGAAAAGAGACGTGAAGAAGCAATGTGCAGGCCGGCAAGGTGAGGATGGCTGGAGTGGTAGATATAACTGCTGTACCGTTATTGTTGGGTGGATTCATTAGTCGGACCTATTTATTATAATAAAACATCAACAACGCTATTGTTCCATTGATAGGAGATTAATATATTTCTTATTCTATGTTTTGTTACTCTCCTAGTAATAGAGCGTGGGAGCGGCCATTAAATTGACTTATGCGTTACGTTACGTTTTGCTCCACAAACACACAGGAAATTATCTCAGAACAGCGAACACCGAGTAATGGATATAATTCGCGGGCCACGATTGACTCGTTATTGCCAAATGGACTTTGCTATTTTTTCCATTTCATAGCCATTTCGATCGAATGGGAGAGAGTATTGCTACCTACGGCTAAGCATAATCTGTTTACTTTCTATTTTAAAAGTGTCGTCATATTATTATTATCATATGCAATTATTGTTTTATGTGATTCCGCTTTCGCCACTTATAGGTAGGTTCACTTCACACGACACAACCTATTTTATCCCGAATGCGAGATCGTCCATTGTTTTTGATACGTGTCAATTAAAGGGGTTTATTATGACTTCATTATGCATTGTCTTTAACACTTGGTCTAACACTGTTTTACGATCGTTATGAATTATACTTTTCAAGTAGAGGTTTTTTCTCACATAAAAAACATAACAAATTGTGAAACGGACTCGTGGGAGTCTCTCCCGAGTCGCGAAGGGTCCCGTATTGTCGAATTGTCTTATTATCTTAAACTCCTCCGGGTTTCGAAAGTCACGTTAAGCCGTTTGGGTCTGGCTTCATTTAAAGTCGTTAGGACATACCAATTCGCACTGGGAACGCGGGATGGACAGCCCAATCTCCCTATTCCATCCGTAGGAAGATCTGTACCCGAACATTGATATTTGATGGCTGATGATGATGTATCGAACAAAAAAGATACAGAAGATAGACCTCTGTCATTAAAATTTTTACAAATGAAAAATAAAATTTGGCTTATTTGTGCAGTGTTGTCTCAATTTCATGTTACATTTTAGTGATGTATTCGTATAGTCAAGATTTAGTAATACTATTCCACCCTCATCTTTTGGATACAGAACCCTAAAAATTTATGAACTGCTTAATATATTAAAAAATAATGATTTCTGAACAAAAGTTAGGCCTAATCAAACATATGACTGAGCTTTTCCCCAAGTACCATTGACTATTGAGTTTCTTCTGACAAAAGAAATATACACAATCGTCAGAAAGTGGTCAATGGGTCCGATTGTCAGACGTGACGCACGCGCGTTGTTAATGAGTGTCACGTACGCTTATTTTAGCTACGAGATGCTACCGCACTGTTTGAAGGGATCTTATTGTAGAATCGATAGATTGCGATAAGCGAAAATTGTGGAAAAACGAAAAAGGGGAGTCGCTTGTTTGGTCGCCAGGGTTAACTCTCTATTTCATCGTATCTCTTCATCTCTTGTAAAATATTCTAAAGAATCGTATATTATGTGAGCCATAAACTTTATTTGGTACAGCGAAGCGAGAAGAGTCAGCATAAACAGTTTTTTTTCTGTCACATTGGACATACAAATTGGGCAGCAACGATATATGTGTGCAGGATTTTGTAGTGTATTGTATCATTATCATGTGTCGAAATAACAGTCTATTTACGCATGTACGTTAAATTGCGTTTGTTGATATTCCCGCCCCGCAAATAAATGGCAGAATGATTTGAATAAAACCAGAATGTTTAGTTCTTTTGGTGGCGCAATGCGCAAGCGCAGAATGCCACTGCACTGTTCTAAGGCCTGTTATTAGTGAATTCGTCGATTGTGGCGACCTAGATGTAGATTTAGCTAGGTCTACTACTACCGTAGTATTTGAGCAATAAAGTAGACACACTCAAATTTGTTCGTGTGGTATTGCCATAATGTATTAACTGCTATTTTGTGAATATACTTAGTGGGAACACATTTCGGAAGAACTTCTAATATAAAAATAATGGTGAGAGAATTTTAGGCAATCATCAGTATAGACAGTCTTAAAATTAAAGTATTATTGGATTTGTTTTACGAGACTTATACAAACAAATGTGAAGTATGAAAAATAAAATGAATGTATGAATTCGAATGAATGAATAAATATTTAACTTAAATAATCATCAAGAGCATTTATTAACCACTGCAACACAGCGAGAGCATTAACATTGTCTTTATAAAATTCTGCACCAAATGAAAAATCACTCGAATGGGAAAAAAATGAAAGTTGGTTCTCATAATTTACTGCGATACGTGGAGAATATTTACAACAATTACGAGTAAATAGTTTAGTAGAAACCGCTCTACCGATTACTACGTCCGAGTCTCGGATCTCGCAATTTACGAGAGACACTGTGGAAATAAAAATCGGCCAAGTGCGAGTCGGGCTCGGTTACCGAGGGTTCCTTACTTTGTAGGTACGCAACATTAATGGCCATATTATTTTTCGCGTTAACTTAAATGTTAATTTTTCGCAGACAAGGGACCGTATATATAAGAATATGGTTCCAAATTTCAACTCAATACATATATTCGTCTCAAGGGTCTTGCGAGACAGACAGATAAACGGCCGTATCTTTTTTTTACACGTTCATTTAGAAGTTTGATTTTTTCACAGCTTCAGGTAACCGCAGGTCTGAGTATATGGTTTACATTATATTTCAACCCGATACCTCAACGTGTTCCCGATATAAATGGTCTTGATAGACAGACGGACCGTCGGACAGATAGTCAACCAAGGGATCCTATAAGGGTTCCGTTTTTTTCCTTTTAGGTGCGGAACTCTAAGAAGCAGTCGGAATCATTATAACAGTCTCGACGTGCCCGCTATTACAGATATTATAACTTTCGAGTTAGGTGTGTTTTTTGCTAAATGGGTGTTTGTGTTTCTGCTTCACGTTTGCATTGAAGGTAATAAATAACGCGGATGGACCATTCCGCTCTGACCAAACACGGAACGGTGCGGTTTGTGAATTGTAGAAAATCGATGCCACCTTTGAAACTACTTCTTCTCACTTCGTCCAGTCCTAGAAAACGAGGTTTGCCATTATGTTTAGTGAAGGGCAAACGGATGGTCAGAAAAAGAATTCTGTAACTAAAAAGTTTAAATAACTTGTCTTAACCAGGTATCATAAATACATTAATCGCCTCTGCGCCGGATTTTTTCATTTTGAAAGTACTATTATCACAGAATAGTAGTCAGAAAGGTGACTCGCCATTATCAAAATAGCAAACGTGAGTGTAGTGGAACACTCGGTTAGAACGAAGTTAAAAATATTTATATGGCACCCACTTATCTGCACTGGGGCCGAATGGTTGGTGGCTGCTTGATTAAAAAAAAGAACACCTCGACCTCACCTCACACACAGCATGTAACGTTAAATTAACTCGTGACAACGTGACAGGACGTGACGATTTATAAGACGTTATCACGTCAAAAAACTTGTCACTGGGCTTGCGTGGTTGGTCATGACCCAATCACCCAATTCCGTGAAATTATTAAAAAACCCTATACCAAGTCCATAGCCACCACCATCAGTGGTACCTAGCTGCCCACCAAGCTGTCTAGTTAGCTGTCTCGCTAGGTTGTTTTGGCACGGAAAAGTCTTAATTTTTTTTCGCCCTGTCCCCATCCGTCATTCGCCCGAAACAGAACTTCGTTCCAAAAAAATACCTAAACTTGAGATTTATTTAGTTTGACAACACGTGTCGACTCCACGTCCGTCCACGACTAGTCGCGGATTAATTGCTTGGAACTGCGAGAAAACATTGTGTGTATGGCAGAAATGACGTTTTGTATTGCACAGGCATTCTCTGAGATGCAATCTCACTTACAATTTCATTTATTCGGATTTCTGACAAATGTCAAATATCTAATACTGGCTGCTTCTACAGAAATGGTGACATTTTGCCGTGTAATGGCGTAATGCATATCAAACTTATGTTTAAAATGGCAGCTACCGAAATCGGAAGTGAGATTTTATTTTACAGAACCGCCCATTAGGGCGGATTATTAAATCCAACTATCTACTTGAACGCGGCGGGCGGTAACGTACTTTGAGTTTGGACACTTTTTCCACCACTGTCGATAAACGAGAAACGAGTAGAGCTAGAAACTAGAAACGGGATGTCGATCGGCGGGAAGCGAGTGAGTAGTTCGGCTAGTTTTATCACTGAGCTATAAGCGAGTGTGCGATTACGACGGGCAATTTCTCTCGCCTCTCGCCCGCGGTGACAATCCTGAGTAAAAGAGGATGCATACACGTTTTAAAGGTCTAGCGAGTATCGCTGAGCGGATGTTATCTTTGATATTTCTTGTTGCTTAGCGACAAACTAGTTAAGAGAGTTCCGGCATTGTGAACAGGCAGCTATCAGCTATTAATATACTGCTATCTCATCTCTCCCTTGTTTACAAGGAATATTTAACAATTGTACGTTTCTTGAGCGAGAAAATAGCTGATAGTTATGGCTCAATTACACTTGGTCGTAAGCCCGTATTTGGGTGCACGGAAGACATTACACGAATTCGACCACCCGAAGCACCTCACTAAAATATGGGCTGGAAGACGGTTCAGGTAACCAAATGAAAACTACCCCAATACGGGCGTACTCGACTCCATTCGTTTACACAGTCGTTTACCCGAATTCATTGGCACTCACATTCGGGCTAGCGATCAAATGTAATCGCACCATTAGCCGTTTCCTCCTTGCCTTGTACTATAATGAATAATGTTTGTTTTTGTTGTCAGGGCGTGTGTGAAGAAGCTGCATGTGCGGTGATGCGCCGCGAGCGCCCGGGATCGACACATGCATGCCGCCCGCGCACCCGGTAAGGACAAGATTTTATTTTTACTGAAAGACTAGATACCGCCCGCGACTTTCTCCATGTAACTTTGGTTTTTTGAGAATTCTACAGAAACCTTTTTTTTTCGATTAAAAGTATCCTATGTCCCAATTCAGGTTTAAATCTATATTCGTACCAAATTTTATCAAGTCCGGAGCAAACATACAAACTTTCACATTTATAATATAAGTTGGATTTTAATTAACTTGCACTGTATGTTCGGGTCAAATCTTACAACTGAATTTCAAGCAGATATCCTCAAACAATTGAGACGAAATTTTGCATTACACGTTTAGTTATGAAGAAGAATGGTTAGCTAAGTGACGTCATTCTAAATCCAATATGGCGATCAATCAGTAAACTTAGCCATTATAGAGATAGTAGTATATTTTAGTAAACTTCCAGGATATCCTGAAATACAGATGAATCAATTATCTAATTATCTACTTCCAACTCAAATGTCTCGAATTGAACTGAAAATTATGTACCTACGTATAGCATTGTCAAAGATTCGGATTAAAATTTAATGAAATAAACTATTATGGGTATCAAGTTAAAGAGTTTGTTGAGATGAATACGAATAAACAAATATCATTTGCGTTCAATTATCTTCCTTTAAGTTCAAACAAAACTTATTCTTTAAGTTCTTTTTTTCTAATAAACTTATTTTTAATTTTCGCTCGTAAGAAAAACAAAAGATTGTAAGTTTCTTCATAGTTGGATTGCGTCGCCTTTTTCTAGGGCGAACGCTTCGAGATGTTTAACAAGGAAGACTTTTCATAACTGCGCAGCTGGTTATAGAGAATGCATGGACACTGAATTCTGTAGTGCGAAATTGGATTTTGCTATTGTGTTCCAAGTGTCAAACAACTAAATACCTAGAAGTTATAATTCCAGAAATTTTGTCGCTAAAAGTGATACAATGAGATTGGGCTTCTGAAACTTTATGTTGTCTAACTACTTCGATAAAAACCATTCTTAATGGGGTTACATATTAATGTGTTAATTCTTATTTTGTGGTAAGCATTGCCGATTTATGTATTATCCTTAGAATATTTCTACTTTCGCACATTAAGAACATTCTACATTCGCATATCACTAAGACCTCTCTTAATGGACATCCTCTCCTCGTATCCCTCATCCCAAGTTAATACAATTGTGGTCCCTGTAGGTCGTACGAAATCGCAACCACTTACCGTATGGCATGTAGCTCTGATTTATATAAATGAAGGAATATAAATGTATAGTAGAACTCAGCGGCATGTAACATTAGGGTAGGTTTCCACTAAAGCACCGCCTAGAGGAGAATAGAAGAGATGTGTCTCAAACAACCAAAAACAATATACATTAATAATAATAACAAATTCTTTATTTCTTTCTTCACATAAGCAGAAAAAAACATTTACAATAAAGTGCTTACAATATTTAATTACTTAATGTGAAGACTGGTGCTTGCAATATGATAAACCTGTTCTACAAGACACCAGACCTCCACTCCCAAAACTACATGAACAGAGCAAGCCAACTTTGTACCATTTATGTGATAAATGTATTTATTAATATGAAAAGATACCAAGATACATTAAAAAGATAAAAAAAAAACGACTGTGCTTATGACCACACGACTGAAGTGAAACTTCTTTAGCTCCATCTGTATATATATATATGTGTACAATATATACATGTTTATACACATACATATTTAATTTACTAGTTACAAAAGAACGAGAGAAAGAAAATGTGCGCGCGCACTGCTTTCTCTTGCTTATATCCCTCACTCAACTCCCGTTCGCCTTGCCCGATCACACTTTTCGTAAAGTTCGCCAGCTTACTCCTCAAGCGTGTGTATAGAAGTTGCACTTGTATATGTTTTGTAAAATTTAAAACTAGTTTTTGGCTCAACCAACTGTCAGAAAACTGTTTAAAACTGTAACATTACTATTGTAATTTTCGTTATTAGCGGGATTACTAACATGAGTACTTCGTTTTGTCAGTGGATAGACCGATATATCTGCCAATACTATCCTACCCGCAATTTCTCCAGTTACTCCGTGATAATGTCGCTTGCAACAGTTCCGAAATATTGGAGACTCGCTGAAAATGAAAATGGGGAAAAATGGCACGGCAACAACCCCGCAAGTAACAAAGTTCAATTATGCCGTGACGTGGCGTCACTAAGCGCGTCTATCGTCTGTACCACGGCGAGTGTTCTGAGGAATTATTCTCTCTTATTCCACCTTCCCCTTTCCTTCCTTCCCCTCCCTCTTACAACCTGGGATCCTTTAAAAGAGGCGTGAAGAAGCAACTTGCAGGCCGGCAGGGTGAGGATGGCTGGTGTGGCAGTTAGAACTGCTGTATCAGCTATCTTCGCGTCTGGACTTCACCTTCACTTAACATCAGGTGGGGTGGTGTCATTTGTCGGACCTATCTATAAAAAAAAAACTATTCATATATCGTTCATGTCCATTTTCTATCTCTATGGGTACAATGTTTCTATGCCGCCAGAGTCACGTCTCCGATACATACGCCGCTGTGGATCACGCACTGATTCAATTTAAATATTTATCTGCTGTGCTGTGAAGCGAAACGTGTTCAGCGACACAATTTACATATTGGCACGGCGCGTTTGGGCGGTTCGATACATATACAATTTATCAAATTCTATACTGTATAGCTGTAGGTTCCTGCTCTAGAATTAACTGCCTGATAATGATAATGTTTATTATATTATTAAGCATTTAATTGCTAGATTTATAACTTTAGAAAATATTAAGTAGGCACTAGAAAATAAAACAATGCGTTCAAAGTATCAGATGGGATTCGAACCTGCATCATCCGGTAGCCGGGCCAGACGCACTGACCAATTATGCTACCGAGACCTTAATGGCCGTGTCAAATTTCTTCTATTATGCAAGGCAGATGAAATACTGATAAAGTCTGTCACTATGTTACTGTAATTTTATCCATTTAGGCTTATGCCCTCGAATTGAGAGGCTGACGATGACGATATCTGTCAACATCATCATCATCAGATAATGTCCCCACTACTGGGGCACAGGCTTTCCCTATGGATGGAATAGGGAGATTGGGCCATGACCCACCACGCGGGTCCAGTGCGGATTGGTGGGTGCTAACGACTGCAGATGCAGCCGGGACCAACGGCTTAACGTGCCTTCCGAAGCACGGAGGAGCTCGAGATAGTAATTTTCGGTCACCCATCCAATGACCTACCACTGCGAAAGTTGCTTAAGTTCAACGATCGCAACCGAACGCGCTAACAACTTGCGCCATCGAGCTCCTCCTGTCAACATAATAAGATTTAAGAATAATTAATTTTGCTCATATTGCACAATTAATCAAAATTGCGTTTTCACAAATTGACGCGAAAATAGATAAAGTAAAGAAGTTTCTCTCCGGTCTTAAGGTTATAATAAAAGTAATATATTTCTTACAGTGCAAAAAGCAGTCGTAAAACAGCGAGCACATAGTAAACTATGCAATAACCAAAACGACGCACGCGGCGATGCTTTCCAGTAGCTCTAATGCATTGGTGCATATTGCATGAAGCCGTTCATACTGAGAGCTATTTTTTTAGCCAGCAACAGAAATGTAGAAGCTGTACAATACCGCAGTTGGATACTCGAAATAAAATTGTTTTTTTATGAAGTTTCCCCAAAATTATCTAGTAAGATAAGAAGTTTAATTACCACTATACGGACTATACTATATAGTACGGACCAATATCAAATTCCAATAGTTTGCGAGTGCGAATTTTCATTGTCAAATTTTGTATGGAAACTTGAACCACAGCGCCATAACGGACGTAACGAGAACTAAAAATCAGTACACATTTGACAATGACATTTCGGACTCGCAAACTATTCGAATTCGATATTGGTTCGTGCTAAGGGTACTGGCTATTGCTATCTTACTATTTCATTAACTACGTTCATTCATTACGTCGTCGTACCTAAAATAATTAAAAGCACAAAAGAAGAAATTTCCAGAATGAAACCTACTTTCACTATCGGCTGTTAGCGAAATTAACAAATACCTAAATGCGCATGTTGAAAAAAAAAAAACATGTAATTTGACTCTGTTTACTCGGAATTAAAGAAATTAGTGGCTCGAGCGTGCCTTAACCCATGGCGGTTGGCGTCGTACGCGCAGCTTATTAATATTTATTTAGAGCGAACCTAGTTAATGAGATCTCACCCGCAGACAACTGAGATTTACAGCGAGACACAGTATGTTGGCGATCAGTAATATACCTAATGTCAAGTTAATGATTTACTTAAAAGAAATTTCAACCGAATCGAAATGAGTTGTGTACTTTAATTCAATATTTGATCTATTCATTTATATTAATAAGTTTTTTAAGTGTTTTTCAATTTATTGTTTTCTATTCAGTGCGTATAGTGAATCTCAAGACTAGGACGCATACCGCACGGGGAGAACTATAGCGCATAGAAATGATGGCTCTCTTGGGAAGTTACAAATTGTGCAATATTGTAATCAGCCTTGATGCTATCAGACCATGTACCGATTTGTAAAAGAATGAGTTACTGACTTAAATATATATTGTAATCATATTGACACGGTGAAGTGACAACGTGGAATAATTAATAGAAGCCGGGTAATTAAGCCTTGTTTTTACAAACGTGCCAATGGGTCACACGCGCAGTAATTAGCATAAGAAATTTCATATTTAATGTTGTACAGTAAACGTGTTGGTGTTAAACAGATTTCTTAGCATTTACTTTGGAGCAAAACTGCGTGTGAATATTTTATTATATTTGTGCTCCCTCGAGGCAGTTAGACTTGGAAAAGGAAATATGAATAAAACAAACATACAAAATCTTTATTCGTTCTCTAACATAGAATAACATAATAGGAAAAAGTAAGGTGTACAGCAAATCGACAATATACATTATAGGTATTTTTAACTTTATGTGAAAGACTAGCTTCTGCGCTAGGAGAACCTG